CGCCGGATGAAAACAAGTGTGCCCAATATGATGTAAGAACCCGAAACGTTATTGTTTCTGCCTTAACTCGTAGTGAATTTTTCAGGGTCTCACAATGCAAGACAACAAAAGAAATATGGGACACTCTTGAAGTAACACATGAAGGAACAAATGAAGTAAAGCGAGCACGTAAGAACACACTCATCCAGGAGTATGAATTATTTCAAATACAGCAAAATGAAAGCATCACGGATTTTCAAACACGCTTCACACATATAGTAAATCACTTGAAAGCATTAGGAAAGAGTTTTGACAATGAGGAGTTGAACACAAAGATCTTGAAATCCTTAGACAAGAATTGGCAACCAAAGGTCACTGCTATTACAGAATCAAAGGATCTCACAAAAATGAATATTGCTACTGTATTTGGAAAGCTGCAAGAACATGAGATGGAGCTAAAAAGGTTAAAGAACGGTGAACAGAATCAAACCAAGACGATAGCTCTAAAAGTAGAAAAATCTTCACAAGACGAAAGCGAAAATGAAGGTAAGTTTTTAGATTCCGATATGTCTCTTTTTATTAAACAATTTTCTCGCTTTATGAAGAACAGGAAAAAGAGACAACAAAGAAAGGAGAAAACAAATAAATTTCATTGTTATGAATGTGGAAAACCTGGTCATATCAAATCAGACTGTCCGGAACTTAAGAAAGAGAAGAAAGATGTGAAAGAGAAGAAGAAAGAGAAGAACGATACCTATAAGAGCAAACACAAAGCTTATATTGCTTGGGAGGATAATGATTCTTCCACAACACAAGAGAGTTCTTCCGAAAGCAGTGATAAAGAAGAAGAAGCAAATCTTTGCTTGATGACAAAAAGTGATGATGAAGTCTCATCGCAGGTAAGTAGTACAAATTCCTTAAATGAATATGATGAGTTATTTAAAGAATATCAAGATATGTATGAAGGTTTTACCAAGTTATCTAAGAAATACAATGCACTTAGGCAAAAGTTTAATGCATTAGAAAATATTGTTGGTATTCTTGAAAAAGAAAATGAGTGCTTAAAGAAAGATGTTGAGAAATCTAAAACTTTGTCTAAAAATAAAGAAGTTGTTAAACCTTGTGAAAGTTGTAATCTTTTGGAAAATGAGACTTTCAAGTTAGAGAAAATAATAAGCAATTTTTCAAAATCTTCTGAAAATCTTGATTCGATATTAGGTTATCAAAGAGGAAATTCTAGCAAAGTTGGACTTGGTTATAAACCCAAAGAAAGTCTAGAACCTCATAAAACTATTTTTGTGAAAGAGTCAAGAAAAACATATGTGAAACCAGTTTCAAAAACTTTAAGAAACGCATTTAGACCTTTTCAAAGAAAACCAACATGTTTTATGCATGAAATTAGGTCATACATCAAATAGATGTTACATAAAACATTTTGGCATATCTAATGGCAAATATGAATGGGTGCCTAAAGAAACAAAGCATTTATACATGTCTAGATAATAATCTGAGCATCTAATTGATTATCAGAATCAGAATTTTTTTCTTGTTTGTCATAATCAATTATGTTGACCAACTTTGAAATTTGAAAATTTGAATTTATGAAAATTTGAAATTATAAAGTTTGAAATCTTGTAATTTGAGATTCTTGAAATTTGAAATTTTGCAGTTTGAGATTTTTTTAAAAAATTTGCAGTATGAGATGTTTGAAATTTGAAATTTTGCAATTTGAGATTTTTGAAATTTGAAATTTTGCAGTTTGAGATTTTTTTGCAATATGAGATTTTTAAAATTTGAAACTTTGCAATTTGAGATTTTTGAAATTTGAAATTTTGTAGTTTGAGATTTTGAAATTTGAAATTTTTGCAGTTTGAGATTTTTGAAATTGAATTTGAATTGGAATTTGAAATTTGAATTTGAAATTTGGGATTAGAAATTTGAATTTGAAATTTAGAATTGGTTGGAATTTGAATTTGAAATTTGAAATTTGTTGCAATTTGAATTTGAAATTTGAAATCTGGAATATGAGTGCATTTGAATTTGAAAGCTGCCTAAATAAGAAGACTGTAATTGAGAGAAACTACTACATTTAATTTTATTATCTCTATAATTATTTTATTCCCCTATCTTTCTCTCTCTTCATTTGTCTTGGGTATCCTAGATATTGTTTCCTTAATATGATATTCTTCTCTATGACACTTTTTAATGCATTATCTTCTCTACCTTGATTTATATACTAATAGGTACAAATTTGTTTTCAGTTTCTATTACAATATTTTTCATAATTATCAATGAAACAAGAAGATATTTTGATGATATTAATCTGTGTGAAACAGGGGAGATTTTTTCTCTTATAATATTTTTCATAATTATCAATGAAACATGGAAATATTTTGATGATATTAATCATGTCGAAACAGGGGAGATTCTTTTTCTTATAATATTTTTTTTAATTATCAATGAAACAGAGAGATATTTTGATGATATTAATCTGTGTGAAACAAGGGAAGATTTTTTCTTATAATATTTTTTTATGATTATCAATGAAACAGTGGGAGATTTTTTGATGAATTAAAATCTGTGTGAAATTCTTTCCTATATAAATTAAACAAGGGGAGTTAAGAGAATTATTTTCTCATATGAGTTAGGGGGAGTCTTGTTATTAATATATCCAGGCGGAGATTAAGAGACTTAGACACTTGATACAAATCTGTGCTAATCTTGAGTTGACTATATAAAGTCAAATATTTTAATTCATTTCAGGTGTTTCCTTGATCATCATCAAAAAGGGGGAGATTGAAAGCAATAAGGGGGAGATTGATGAAAATGTTCTTGCATTCCCAAGAGATGATTTTGATGATGATTCAAGTCAACACCATTCAAGATGAATTTAAGGACAAGCTGAATTTACGACGTAGGTGACAATGCGAAACATTTCCCTACATGCCCAATATATGTTTTTGATAAAGATGATGATTCAAGAAATCCCAAGATGATTCTTGAAGACTAGATAGAGTCTTAGAATACTGGATATGGAGGTACAAGTTGATAAAGTAATATTATGCATAAGCCTCCAAAGCACAAGTGTGATAAAATTCATAACATGATATTTTTCACTGTCATAATTAATTATGATGCACCAGAAATGGAAAAATGATTTTCTCTATCATAATTAATTATACTGGTAATATAATCAATTATGGCAATTCAAATTTGAAAAATATATTCGTTTTAAAGAATAAATGTTTTTGAATACATCCTGATTTTCTCTATGATATTATTAATGTCCAACGACTATTTTCTGATGTTATTTTTCTATTTAATTAAGTTTTGATGAAAAATAAAAAACACACAATTACAGAATTCGAAAATACAATTTACATTCAACTAGTTTTGAGAAAATAATGCTGAACAAGGCAATAGAGATATTTTACACCTTTTGAGAAAACCCTCTTCTCTACTGTCTTCTGTGCTTTCATTGTTAATCACACTTGTTCTTGGAAATTGGCATTCTACAGGCTTCTACAATTTGTTGTCTCCATTACCCAGGTGTGTCTGTTCTTATTTTTATTACCTTCATCATTTTTGCATTGGTGGAAAAAGAGGTGTTTTTCATTCCTAGTGTGATTCTAGGGAGGTGTCCATCCTTAGTGGGATTCTAAGGAGGTGTTTTCATCCTTTGATTTATTCAGAGGAGGTTTTCATCTCTAGTGGGATTCTAGGGAGGTGTTCATCCTTAGTGGGTTTCTAAGGAGGTGATTGTCTTTTTAATTAGTTTACTTTTTACTGGTTCTTCTGCTGAGTTGATTGTAATTTGTAAATTGAATTTGAAAGATAGTGAATGGGGAGTCACTCTTATGTTAAGAGTTGACTGGGAACTGGATGTAGGGTTGGCTATACCCGAACTAGTATAAATCTCTGTGTGTTCTTCTCTTTCCCTTATCTCTTTCTCTTTTCCTGATTATATTATTGTTTCCGCTTTAACAAATTATTGACTCACAAATAAATTTTTAATTTGACATCTATTTTAATTTGTGCATCTATTCACCCCTCTCTAGATGTCATTTGTCTAACACCTCTTGTTTCCACACTCGATAAAATTTTGATAAGATGTTAATAAGAAGGTATACATCTTAATTTTATTTTATTATTGAGATATAGGTGAGAAATATATTAGATTGAAAATAAAATTAAAAATCATTTTATTATTTAAGCTTACAGCTCTGATTAAACAAATTTTTATATAAAATTGGGAAACATAAGATATTACCTAAATAATGTCATTTGTTTCACTAAAAAATAACTTATAACTGAAGGTATGATCTTTTAGTGAGTAAATACCAAATTGTTGAATCAAAATAAAAGTTTATATTCTCAACAATTTAGTCATAATAAATTATTGAATTAGATATTAAAATAAATATAAAAGTTTTGGATAAGGTACGATCTCTTAAAATTCACAAAGGTAATGAAAGCCTAAAATGTAATAATATTTTTACAACCTATTTTTCATATACTTGAAAATGCTCTTATAATATTATAATTATAAAAATATAATATCAAAATTATATATATATATATATATATATATATATATATATATATATATATTGTAAAAACATTATCTTTCTAAGTGAAATAACAATAAAAACTTTCAAAATGTAGTTATGACTTTTCATGTATAAGACTTATGTGTTATATATTATGAAAAAAACATATGTTAAGGTAAAAATATATACTATCTTTACTCCATCATTTTGTGTGTTGGAGAAACAACAAAAACATAATATTTAGAACATTATAACTTTTCATATGTCAACCTTCCTTGCATAAATAGTAAATTAGAAAGGATGTAAAGCAAAAAGAGAAATAATAATTTGTGACTAAAAAGATAAAGCGAAAGAAAGAAGTACATAAAGGAGAAAGTTTTGAGTCAATTGAAGGAGAAAGACTTACTTAAATTAGGGTTTAGTTGACAGATCAAGACTATGAACAATAGCATCGTTGATTATGTGAAAGGAATGCGAATTATGTGGTAAGGTATGAAACTGAAGCTTAGAATCCAAATAAAGAGTTAACAAAAGGAAAAGCGGTTCCTATTCCTTTCAATGCTGATTATAAAATTAATATATCATACTAATAATGGCCTTGGTGTCAAGACATGCTTTACTTCGTATTCTTACTTTCATGCTAATAATACCTTTTGTTAAGCATCGCACATTTCGCATTACGAAGTTCAAGAACATGATTCAATCACTATAGGGCAATGCAAAGAGAAAAGAAAAAAACATTAACGAATATTCAATTTTAACGTGTTAAATGCTTACTTTGTTGCATTTTAAAAACTTTGAGAGACTTGATAGTTATAAATTCTATTATGGATCAAATAAAATCGTCAATATTTCTTTGTTTATCACTTTAATACTAATACATTGTTAGGTTTTTAAAAATAAGAAACTTGATTTAATTATTTATTCAAATAAAATAATAAGACTCCCTCTTCTATAAATAAAATTATATAAAAAAATATTATTAGAACTATAAATGAAATAAAATAAATTACTTAGTATTAATATTTAAGTTTTGAAGTTTTTTCACTTAATAAACTCGTCTTTTGAGATATTTTGTCCGATAAAACAGTAAAATAGTACAATTTTAAATCCAAATTATCAATTTTGGTTACTTTTTAAAAAATTATGTAAATTTTACGTAAGTCGTGTTTGAGAAACAGCTTCATATGTACTTACGTTATAAATTTAATAAATCCTTATTCTTAAAATTATGCCATAATTTATCCAAACTCCAAGCCGATGACAACTTTTTCTCTTAAATTTTCAGAAACACAAAACTCGACTCATTAATATTATTTTGTGAATAAATAATAATTTCTCCAAAATAATTATTAATTATATAACAGATCATGTTATTCTATTAAAGCTAACTAAATTTAGTTTTAAAATTTATTCATACGTAACCTTTCTTATAAATATTATTACATTTTAAAGGGTATAAAATTTGGACTATAATAATAATAATGGAGAGGATAGAATTTATAATTTATGTGTTTAGAAGAGAAGATATAACATCTAATCTTAGCTTCATGCTAAGATTTGTTATACATGAGAGTGTGTCGGAATAGGTTAGTTAGATCTGCCTAAAAAATTACATAATTTTAGTTTGTCAACACATTTTGATCTATTCTGCCTAGTCCAATAATTTGAAGGGTCAATGGTAGATAGGGGCGGATCTTGACCATTAATTTTGGAGGGGCCAAATAATATATTATTAATAAATAATAAATAAATATAAAAGGAAGTAAGAAGATGAAATGGTGAAAAGATAAAATTGTAAATATATACTTAAATATATTAAATTTGAGAGTGACAAAATCATAAATTATATGAGAGTTACAAAACTGAAGAGAGGCTCAGAGGATAAAATTGTAAATATACAAGTAAATATATTAAAAGTTCATTAAGTTTGGGGGTCAAAATCATAAATTACATGAGAGTTATAAAACTTTGGGGGCCACGGCCCCTCAACTCCCAAGAAGATTCGCCATCGATGGTAGGGAGGGGTAGACTAGCCCATCGACCAGTTTAAAAAAAATATTTATATATTAAAATTAAAATAAAATATTATAATTAAAAATATTATATTTTTTGTGTTATATTATTAAAATATATAAATATATTATAATATTATAATTTAAATTATAAAAATTAATCATTTAAGTTTAAATTATTGACTATAATTAGTTATTTAATCTTATAAATATAATTTTTTTAATCTATCTAATAAAAATATTAACTAATAAATAAAAACTTTAAAATTATTCATATAATTAAAGATATATTTTAAAAAAATGCATATAAAAAAATTTATATAAAAATAAATTATTGATGGGTGGCCTTTCAATTTGTCTTTTGGCGAGGCGAATCAAAATGGGGCGGAGTAACATGTTTTGTCATCCTATTCATGGAGTAGTTCGAAAGACTAAGAAATAGGTTATCCTACGTTAAAAATTTTGTGACTTAAATTGAATCAAACTTATTCTAGTTCGATCCATTTAGACTGACCTACATAAGTTCATATCGGACTAGCTTGCATGTCTTGTTCGTAAAATAATAAAATTTTTTAAATAAAAATAAGAGTTATATTATTCACCACAAGAAAATTTTCAATTAGCTAGGAAAATTTGCTACAAAATTTATTTTTCACTAATTTGTAGCTAATTAGCTATGAAATAGTAAAGGAATGAAGTTGTAGCTAATCTGTAGTAAAATAGGTAGAAGATAATATTTTTGTAGTTATTTCCTCACTTAGTAGAAAAATAATTTAGCTAGGGAAATTTTTTATCACTAATCCCTAACTATAAATATTAACTATGTTATTTTTTGAAGTTATTTCTTAGCTAGATTATATAACATACAATCATAGTTAAATTGTAGTAAATTTATAGCAAAAAAATAATCATAAAATTATTTAAAAATTATTTTTATCAAATTTACTATATATATATATATATATATATATATATATATATATAACTTATTTTCTATATCTAAAATAAATTATTTTGAAATAATTATAATTTTTTTTGAAAAAATATCTATAAAAAATTGGTAAATTTTTGAAATTATTTTCTGTACATTTTTTATAAATTTAAATTTATAGGAAATATTTAATAATATTTAAATTAGTAGAAAATTTTATAAATAATTTTTTTTATAATTTTTTTAAAATAATCTTCATCTCACTTTCTTATACCTAATCCCCCTTCTCACTTTTCTTTGAAACCTAAAAGTTCTCATGCTACTACAGACGTTGTCGCCGCTGTCGTTGCCGCCACTGCCGCTGCTATCGCCATCGTTGTTGTTGTCGTCGTTGTCGCTACCACCGCTATTGCCTCTTCTGCCACTCACGGTATAGTTTTGGATTAACCATTGATCTGCATTTTTGTGATTGTCCTCTGCAGTGGCGGATCTTGACCATTGATATTGGGGGGGCTAAATAATATATTATTAATAAATATAAAAGGAAAAAAGAAGATGAAAGGGTGAAAAAATAAAATTCTAGATATATACTTAAATATATTAAATGATCATTAAGTTTGATGAGAACAAAATCATAAATTATATGAGAGTTATAAAACTAAGGAGGGGTTGAGAGGATAAAATTGTAAATATACAAGTAAATATATTAAATGTTCTTTATGTTTGGGGGGGGTCAAAATCATAAATTACATGGGAGTTACAAAACTTTGGGGGGGCCACGACCCCCCTCAGCTCCCAAGAAGATCCGTCACTGGTCCTCTGTCCCTCTCTTCATATGCGGTTTGTTTTGGGCCTAGTGCTGCAATGCCCACGGTTTTGGAATTCCACTCAAGATCAAAGGATGATCCCTAACACATGAGCCCACAAGATGTTCTGATCATTGCCATGTGTTGTAATCTCAACAGTGTTTTCAGTACCTTTTCTATTTTTTTATTTAGTTTCTTTTTCAGATATTTCCTGGCTCTAATGCTGGTGTGGTGATTCATGAGAGTAGATTTTGTTCACCCTTCACTTTGTTGCACACAAGAGTTACAGTTGTTGAGTTTCCATCTGAGCTTCTATCTATCCCTAGCCTTGTGGTTTTGAAACCACTAGAACAAATTCTTTCCCTCTATCCTGCCATAGAGAGAAAGGTGTGTGGTTCCTTTTGTGTCTATTCTAAATATGGTTTAAGTTTTGATGATGTTTGAGAGTGTTACTGTAGTTTTTGCATATTTATAAGTAATGCATCAAATCTTTATTCCCTATTTGTGCATGTTGTAGTCGAATAGATTGTTGTTCCTTATCCACTCTGTTTGCGCATGCCACCCTGTTTGTGCATGCTATAGCCGAATAGATGGTTGTTTCTTATGCCTATTTGTTTATGTGAACAAACTTTGTTGTGAATTCTGGAAAGGTTTAAGTTAATTGCAATATGGTTTTAGATTTAATGATGAGTTATAGGTTTCAAAGAATCTCTCTCACCAACTAAGCATCTCAAGTAAATCTTCCACCCATCATTAAATGCTGCAAGTACTAAACTTCTGAGCCCTTTTGTCCAACTTGAAATCTTTCCAATATCTATGATAAATTCTCAATCTCTCTGATGTTGATGCTCACAAGAGGAAGCACACAAACTCTCAAAAGTTCCAATTTAGTTGTGATTGATGCATTGTCCTCTTCCCTTTTTTTATTTATTAATGCTTAAAAATTAAAATGATTGAAGGTGTGGTCTTGGTAGAGGATGGACATAGATTGCTTAACTGTTTAACATAAACTTGAAATGCTACGGTTGAGGAGGAGCAAAATCATGTCAGATCAATGAATCCTATTTAATTCCCTCTAGTTCACAACTTGTTTTATGAAAAACAAGTGTGCTAATTGATTATGTGGGTATGGTTATTGGATGGCTCTTCTTTTATCACAAAATTTATTGTTGTTCCACAAACATGCTATACTTATTGTATTTATAAATTTAGTAGCTTTGTTTAAAATTTTGTTTTAGCAAGATAAGACAACAATTCGTTCATTGAGATTTTTACCTAGTAAGATTTGTTAATGATACCAATGGAAAGATAATCAACTCAAAAGAACATTAAAATTTAAGTTTATAATATGTGTTGATGTTAAACTTAATAATAATTTATTTTCTTGAAAACATAACTTTTTTTAATTTTTTTAAACCAGCTGCAAGAGTAATGAGACCAGATCGAAGATGGATGTTACAAAGAAATAATCAATTCGGCATTATAACCGAAGAATTCAGAAATGGTGTTGATGGTTTTATTCAAATAGCGATAAGAGACCCGAAATTTGCTGATGTAGCAGGGCGTATTCCTTGCCCATGTGGAAAATGTAGGAATCGTTATTGGGACGTATCATTTAATGTGGAAAAGCATTTGTATCACCATGGTTTTATGGATGGTTACACAAATTGGATCCTTCATGGTGAGGAAAGATGGACCGATGATGTATCAACTTCTATCTTTCAAGAACATAATGAGGATAATAGGAGTACATATGGTTATGGATGTTGCTTATGTTAGATTAAATCCAAAAGTAGAAGAGGTGCAAGAGGACCCAAATCCATCAACTAAGAAGTTTTTTAACTTATTAAAGGATGTCGATGATGAACCTTTATGGGATGGTTGTAAGAAGCATACAAAGTTATCAGTCGTAACACAACTGTTAAACCTGAAGTCAGAGTTTAACATGAGTGTTAATTGTTATGATCGAATGATTGTTATACTCAAAAGCATGCTTCCAGATTCATAAAGGTTGTCTGAAAATTTGTATAGATCGAAGAGAATGGTTAATGAGTTGGGACTAGGATATGAAAAGATAAATGCATGTCCTAATCATTGCATGCTATATTACAAAGAAAATAGTGACAAGAATGTTTGTTTGGTGTGTAAAGAACCACGATTTAAACCGAAGACATCTTCAAAAAATAAAGATGTGCCTTACTCAGTGTTGAGATATTTTCCCATTGTTCCAAGACTCCAATGCCTATTTATGTCTATTCATACTTCAAAATATATGTGTTGGCATGCAGATGGAGTGCGCCAAGATGAATCAATGATGACACATCCAGCTGATGCACAAGCTTGGAAAATATTCAATGAAACACATCCTGCATTTGCCCAAGATCCAAGAAATGTTAGACTTGGACTTTGCACAGATGGTTTTAATCCATTCAATAATTATGGTAACACATATTCATGTTGGCCTGTTGTTGTCACACCTTATAATCTTCCTCCAAGTATGTGTATGAAAAGGGAATTCATATTTCTTACTCTTGTGATTCCTGGACCCAAGTCACCTGGTAAAATTTTAGATATTTATTTGGAACCTCTAATCGATGAGTTGAAAATCTTATGGAACATTGAGGTTAACACTTTTGATGCATTGAAAAGGAATAATTTCATTATGAAAGCAACTCTAATGTGGACAATAAGTGATTTTCCAGCTTATGGAATGTTGTCTGGATGGAGTACTCATGGGAGATTAGTTTGTCCACATTTTATGGGGGATATTAAATCATTTAGATTGAAGAATGGTGGTAAACCTTGTTGGTTTGATTGTCATCGTCGATTTTTTCCTATCAAGCATCCATTTTGTCATGATCGATGCTCTTTTAAGAAGTTGGTAGTTGAGAACTCTTTACCACCACAAGAATTGAGTGGCATAGATGTATTAAATATAGTGACTCAACTTCATAAAATTATCTTTGGCTTAAAATCAGGCAAGCAAAAGCAACCTGACTTTGGTAAAACCCATAATTGGGTTAAGAAGAGCATATTTTGGGAATTGCCTTATTGGTATACTAATATAGTTCGACATAATTTGGATGTTATGCATATTGAAAAAAATGTGTTTGACAACATCTTTAACACTGTAATGGACATAAAGGGCAAGACGAAAGATATTGCAAATGCAAGACAAGATTTGAGATTGATATGTAAACATCCTATGTTAGAAATGTAGGCTGAGATCAAGAGGGGGGGTGAATTGATCTTTGAAAGATTTTCGCAAATTACAGATTATCTATTTCAAAGATTAAGATTTCAGACCAGTTCTTGAATCACACAGCAAGCAATAAAAAATAAATGCAGTGACAGAATTAAAGAAGATAAAGGTTTAGAAAGATACAACCAAGGTTTATACTCGTTCACCCAATCCCAGGGCTACGTCCAGTCTCCAGTCAAATTCCAGCTGGGTTCCACTAGATTGAACATTTTACATATTAGAACTTTAATCTCACACTCAATTTACCACAAGAACCACAATTCCAGTTCCTGCACCTAAACCTTCACCAAGAACCAAATTTCAGTTCTTGACCAACCCTGTAGCCAAATTCCAGCTACAGAAACCAGTGTCCACAATTCCAAGCACCCACAATACAGTAAAGAAAGTAAAGAAACAAATAGAAGAAACTTAGAACGCTCAAACCAGATTTATGCAGCTCTGCAGTATGTGTTTCTTCTCAAAAGAATGCAATTTTGCCTCAAGAAAGAACTTCTATGAACTTCACAAAAACTAGCGCGAATCTCTCTTGAAAGTAGCACTTATGATTGCTTGATTGATTGCTAAAAGATGTGTTTTAAAAATTTCACGCAACTCTGTTTATATAGAAGATTTTCAAAACTACTGGTTTAATTAATCTGTTAAAATAATCTTTTAATCTGTTAAAAGTCTTGTTTTAATCTGTTAAAACTTCTTTTAATCTGTTAAAATGTTCTTGATTATTTTCCAGATTTGTTTTAACTGATACGACACCGTTTATATCAAATAAAACTCTTTGTAAAAAAATTTCCAAACTGTTTTAATCGATTGTTTCGTCTTTCAATCGATTAAAATACTGCAAAACATTCTTATAAACTTTTCTAAGTGATTTTAACTGAAAACAATATGTTTTAATCGATTAAAACTCTTTGAAAAAAGTTCACTTACTTATTTTAATCGATTGAAACGCATTTTAATCGATTTAAATTCTGCCAAAAGATTTCATAAAACTTTCTAAGTTATTTTAACTGATAGAAACCTTGTTTTAATCGATTAAAACATTCTGGGAAAAACTCTTAGTTATTTTAATCGATTATTTCGCATTTGTATCGATTAAAATACTGATAGAACAACTTTCAAAACACTTCAAGTTATTTTAATCGATTATTTCGAGTTTGTATCGATTAAAATTCTACCAGAACACTTTTCAAAATATTCTAAGCCATTTTAATCGATTATTTCGAAAACATATCAGTTAAAAACTTGTTGCAAAAGTTGTAAGAACATTTTAGTTGATAAAGCTTGTATACTATTAGTTAAAATAGTTAATTAAAAACCTTTTAACAAAATACTTTGTTTTTAACCGTTTAAACGCTTTTTAGAGGCATTTGCAAAATTTTTTAAATGAAGAAACCTCATGCAGCAGAGAGATAAAAATGATTATACCTAAGTAAGGATGCAGACTCACTAATCACACTACCCTTTTATCTAAGTGACCTTTGACTACAGCAAAGTAGCCTTGACTTCATTTTGACTTCATCAAATCAACAAGATCTTTTCCAAAGTAATTCAATAAGATCTTCATCACTTTCATCCTAGATTAGAGCTAGTGGTGGAAAATGATAAGTATAAAAAACCAAAGACAACATATGTCTTGAATTCTGAAAAAGAAAGATGGTGTGTGAATGGATAAAACAACTAAAGTTTCTGGATGGGTATGCATCTAACATATCATGTAACATTAATGTAGATGAAGGGAAAATATATGGGATGAAAAGTCATGATTGTCATGTTTTTATGCAAAGACTAATTCCTTTGGCATTTTGTGACATGTTACCAAAGCTTATATGGGGTGTATTAACAGAACTTAGTTTTTTTTTTAAAGAGATTTGCGCGAATACAGTACATCCTTTTGTCATGGACAATGCTAGGAGTTCTATCATTGAAACAATTTGTAAGCTTGAAAAAAAAATTCCACCAACATTCTTTGATTCAATGGAACATTTCGTTATACATCTACCATATGAAGTGAAGTTTGGAGGGCCTCAATACAGATGGATGTATGCATTTGAAAGATGCATGTTGTATTTGAAAAGAAAGGTTCACAATAAGGCAAATGTTGAAGGATCTATATGTGAAGCATATATTTTGGAAGAAATTTCTAATTTTGCCTCTATGTATTTTGATCCCTATATTCAAACAAGACGTACTCAAGTTTCTCGTAATGATGATGGTGGTGAAGATAGAATTTATGAGAAGTTGTCTATTTTCAAACACCCTTGTCGTCCTATTGGTAGAGGTCATAAAAGAATATTAACAGAAGAAGAGCTTCATATTGTCGAGACATATGTCATTGTAAATTGTAAAGAAGTGGAACCATATCTAAAGTAAGTTTTCTTCATAATTACATTTTTTATTCAATTTGATTTGTTACAATATTAATTGTTGTATCAATTAGGAAATTTGAAGATTCACTGAAGAATAAAAATCTCAATATCTCTGAGGATGAAATATTGATATCTCGAGCTCAAGTTTTCAATAGGTGGTTAAAACATCAAGTGAGTCTTTCTCCATATCAATCTATAGTGTATAATTTGAAATTCATTGTAGTAAGTGATGTATTTATGTGTTTTCTCTTTGTAATTCTCTATAGGTGAGTACAAGCCAAGTTGAGGATCGGTTAATTTGAGAGATAAGTTATGGTCCAGTTAAGATTGCGACTTCTTAAAATGGTATAATAGTTAATGGATATAGATTTCATACAAAAGAGTACGGAGCTAATAAATCCACCATGAACAATGGGATATGTGTTAGAGGAAATATATATGGTGAAAATGATATGAACTATTACGGTATTGTTGAAGATATATTAGAATTGTCTTATCTTGGATATCAAAACAAAGTAATTATTTTACGTTGTCATTGGTTTGATCCTTTTCATGGTGTTAAAGTTGATGCCATATATGGCTTGGTCGATATCAAGCATAAATCAAAGCTTCAATCAAATGAGCCATTTGTATTAGCTCAACAGGCTCAACAAGTGTATTATACAAGATACCCCAAAATAGGGGTAGAAATAATGGTGATTGGTGGACAGCTTGCAAGGTTAGAGCAAAATTATTTATGATTGAGACATTGAATAATGAAGATGATTTATCAAATGAGAAAATTGTTACTGATTATTTTAAAGATGATGGATCAATGGGAATGCCTAATATTCTTCCTAATGATGAGGAGATACAATTGTTTGATGCAAATGCCTCAATGGAAGAAATAGACATGGATGATGTTAATTATTCAATGAATAATGTGCTTAATGTTGAATTCATAAATGATGATGATGAGTTCATGGATGAAGAGATGGAGTTAGATGATTTAGATGATCAGTTAGATAATTCAAGTAATGATTTAGACAATTCAGACAAGGAGTGGTTATGAATGAATCATCTTAAGTTTATTTAATGGTAGATATGTTATGTTTAAATTAAATTAATTATTTCTTGTTATTTTTTCATATTTGTATAATAATGACATGTTTGTTTAATTCATTGTATTTTTTTGTGTAGAAACGCAAATGCCTCCTCGAGGAAGAGGGTAGGGTCGAGGTTTTATTACTCCATTTCATCCTTCTTAATCTCGCATTAATCCTCCAGAACTTGATTCTATTTTGCACTCACCATGTATAGTACAAATACTTCAATGATATTTTATTTATTAAATTTTAAATTATTTGAATATAATGTAGTGTGCATTGTTCTTGTCTTAGCTGTTATTTCCATCCATGAACCATCAAATGATGTTGGCCAATCAACTAGTGGTGGTCAATCAACAACCACTATCCCACCAATTGATGTTGACCAATCAAATGTTGCCCCAACATATGATAATCCACAATCTACAGAGAAGCCTTCAAGTGAAAATTCCCATAATGAAGTTGATAGAAGACTTATTATATCTGTGCAACGAGTTAGTAACCCATAAGTGAAACTAACCTTAACTATTAGAAATTAATTTTTATATTACTAAATCATAATAATTTATACATTGAGAATTTTAAATTGTAGGAGGAGGTTTGTTCCTAATTCAAGAACTTCGAGATATTATATCCGAGTTACTCATGAGAATGCCAAATCCAACACCAAATTGGAAAAATTATTTTGTTGATATGAAAGAAAATTTATTCAATGATTTCATGGTTAGTAATTATTGTATTAAAATATTTAAATATTTTTTCTTTAACTTTGTATTAAACAATAAATTTATCTAATTTTTATTGGTGTAGAACAAGTATCGTTTTGCATCAACTTATGATCAGTGGTATGGCAAGAAAGATTTGTAATCTGACATGCATGGATCGATATTCTAACTCTTTAGCTAAGGCAAGGAAAAAGGCAAAAGAGAAGGTAAATTCAGATAATATTCAAGACTTAAAGGGTTTTGGACCAAGAAGTATAAGGACTGAGATGTGGGCTGGATTAGTAGACATATGGGCAACGAAAGAATGGAAAAAGAAGTCCATTGCAGGTAAGGCTAATAGAGCTGCCAAGCCTGATGCCATGATGCACACAGGAGGATCAAGAAGCTTTGGACAACACTTGAAAAAAATGGTTTTCATACTTTACACATTTAATACATTTGATCATATAATTGTTAATCAATATTGATTACTAATTATAAATTGAATATTAGGTATGATGTTAGTATGAGACAATTTTTATGTTGTGTTTCTTAAATGGTATATTGTTGTCTCGAATCTTGAATTGTAAATTATTTCCCAGGAAGAAGAGCACAAACATCATATTTCTTATGGTGAATTATATAGCAAAGTTCATAAAAAGAAAGATGGTGAATATGTGTCTAACAAAGAAAAAAAATCATTGTAAGTGTGTATATATTATAAATATTAAATTTTGTTTATTTATAATATTGTTAAAATATTGATTTGATGTAGGAATCATATGAAAATTCTATGACTGAAAAATATGGGGAAGATACATCAAATCATCCTATAGTTGATTCTGATCTTTGGATAAAGACTACAAGTGAAAATAAAAAAGGTAGAATTTATGGTATAGGTCCGAGTTTGGATCTTGGTATTTCACATGTTTCATCTTCATCAGTAGAAGGTCCCTCTTCCCAAAATCTTACCACACCTCTTACTGAAGAAATCAATACCTTAGCTACACAGTATATCTAATTTGCAAGAACAGATGAAAACACAGATTGCGATGCACAAATCGATATACAAGCATTAATGCAAACATAAATGAAGACACGAGCAGTAAATGCAGACACTCATGCAACAACAAATGCAAGAAGAAATGAAATATTTTAAGAAAGATTTATTATCTTCCTTAAAGAAACAAGGATGAAAATGTACTTTAAACTTTGTTTATAGTTTTTAATTGTGTTATACAAAACTTTTTAGTTGAAATATTATTTTTGTTATGTTTTAATTGTTTGAAACATCATTTTAACTATGTTTAAACAATACTTTTATATTGAAAGTTGATTAGTTTGTCATCTTTTTCAAGAATATGAGTAATAATTTAAATGTTAAACATTTGATATTATAATGTTATGATGATACATTAACAGGAATATTTATTACGTCAATAAAATTGTGAGAGATTAGCTACGAATTAGCAAGAGATTAGCTACGAATAAGCGAAAATTTTTTTTTTTAATAATTGTAAGGGATTAGCTATGAAATAGCGAGAGAAACATTGTGAAGGATTAACTACAGATTTGCGATGAAACAATTGCGAGGACTTAACTACATATCAGCTAGAGATAAATTGTTAAGGATTAGCTATAGATTAGCGAGAACGAAATTGTGAGGGATTAGCTACAGATTAGCGATAGCGAAATTGTCAGGGATTAGCTACAAATTAGCAAGAGTAAGATTGCGAGGGATTAGCTACGGATTAGCGATAGTGAAATTGTGATGGATTAACTACGGATTAGCGAGAGGGAAATTGTGAGGAATTAACTACGGATTAGCGAGAGAAAAATTGTGAAGGATTAGCTATGGATTAGCTACAAGTTTTGGGAGATCAATTAGCTAGAGAAAAACAAAATTTCGTCATTTAAATTAGCAAGGGACTTAGCGACAGTGTGACAACAAAATTTGCTACAAATTTAAGAGAGAATACATATCTATCTAATTAGCTACTTGGATTTAGCGACTGACTATTTCATAGCTATTCCGTAGCTAATATGTAGCAAAACATACTAGCAAGAGATTAGCTATCAAATAGTTACTGAATGTGTCATAGTTAATATATAAAATTCTTATTGTGATTTTATTAAAAAATATATGTATTATAAATTATTTTGATAAACAAATTTACTTATTTTAATAGTAAAGATCAAAGTAAGTCTCTAACAACCATTTATTCCAATATCTAATAGTTAAGATTAATTACTCTATTAGATCAATAAATTATTAAAAATAAATGATAATAATAAAGAATAAATTTTTAACATTTATGTTAGCATTGAATAGATTTATTCTCTTATAATTTATTTATTAAATCATTATATCTTAAGTAAAAATTAATTTTATTAATATAATTTAAATTTTAAAAATATATTATTTTATTTTTAATTTTTATTTAAATATTTTTAATTAATTATTCTGGTAAGACATATTAATATTTATTTTTAATTTCGAATTAGATCAAAATTAGTCTGTTAATATATTGATGTAGGATTATAGTAGATTAAAAATTATAATTTATTATATATATATGACATGATAAAAATTTTCTGCTTCTTATGTGGTCTGGAAACAGTTATGGCCAGATTTAAATTAGCAAATCTTGTGGGTCTTGATGATGATTGGTGACTTTAACGGTGTGCTTAGTGCCAATGAAAAAAAAAAGGTGGAAATCATCCTAATGCAAATTCCTGCACTCATTTTTAGAATTGGATGGACAACAACATGGCAAGGCATAAGTTGCAACACACTGGTTAGGTGTAATTCGGATTATGACCGCATTTTATTCTCCAACCAGTAAGCAATCTTGTATAAAAAATCTCCATTCAAGTTCTTGGCTATGAGGAATGCACATGAGGATTGTGAAGAAGTTGTAAAACAGGTTTCAAAGAATGGTCGTCTTATGTTTGTGCTGCAACAAAAGCTCAAGAATCTAAAGACTACTCTCCATAGGTGGAACCACAATGGATTTGGGAATGAACACGAGAATTTGAAATCTAAACTAAAAATCTTGAAAGATATACAACTAAAGCTCACCACGGCTGGTCTTGTGATTGAATTGCTGCAAAAAGAGAGTATGGCAAAAATGGAACTAAATCAAACATTAAGATGTGGAGAGTTAATTTTGGAAGAAAAAATGTAGGATGAATTGGTTTACTTCTAGAGATAGAAATTACAATTTCAATAATATTGTTAGGCTTTGTTGATGGATCCATACAACTCTAAAATTTGTAAACTCAACAATTAGAGTGAATGACAGTTTGGTGGGCTATTTTGAATGCAGACTAGGTGTTAGGTAAGAAGATCCACTACTACCTTTGCTATTTTACATTGTTTAGGAGGTATTGAGCAGAGGAATTGAGCAAGTAGTTCAGCAAAAACAGATTCTGCATATGGATAACCCACAGGTACACAACTTTTCCATCTCATGTGGTATATGTTGGTGATGTATTTGTATTATGCAAGGCAAACAAGAAGAGCCTTAGGAACATGATGAATTTGCTGAGGTCATATGGGCAAGCGTCAAGAAAACTAGTCAATACTGATAAGAGTCACTTTACACTTCTAAAACATTCAACAAATCCATCAAAGATGTTCTTGGGCTTGGTAGAGGGAGATACCTTTTAACTATCATGGACTATCTATCTTTAGAGCTGTTGTTAATGCTAGGAACTTTAGGACGTTAATTAAAAAAAAGTAAGAATATAATTGTCCTCTTGGAAGAGGAAATTCTTGAGGATGACGGGGATAGTTTCCAAATTTACTGATGGCCTACGTTGTTTCCTCAAATTGGACTTGAAATGCGATGCGATTGAAGCCGACTGTGTCTCTCCTTGGGTTGCTCTAGGCCTAAAATGCCTCTCTCTTGTTGGACCCTCGTGAAGGTCCAAATAAGTTCTAATTACAAAAAGAAACCTAGATCACAATTAAAAAAATTTAAATCATAATTACCAATTAATACAAAACAGAGATATATTTTTGTGAATAATAGAATTTTGTCTTGTTACGCTCCTTGTTACTTCTTGGAAGTATATATACTCTTTCTCATTTTCATCTTCTCTGTTCATGATCCCATCAATTCTTTTATAAAATATTGACATGATAATTTATTGTTTTTCTTAAGACTATTATTTTGTTTTACTGCATTTTATACCAAAATTATTTTAAATTCTCCTTCTTTCTCTACCTTTTTACATTTGAGAATAAACGATTAAAATATTTATCAATTTTCTTCGATAACACAAACTAGGCTAATTCTATTATTGCATTAATTCTTATTTATGCCTATTTGATCATATTTAGGTGATAATATACACGTTAATTAATACTCAAAATAAATTGTGCAACTATTTTTTATTCTTTTTAGGAATAAATATGATATTACCCCATAATAATTTAATAAGTGATTTATTAACCACATAAAAAGTTGAAGATTCTGAGTTGGCTTTGTGCTTAAATCTCTAATATGGAAAGTATGGAGTGTAAATCAACATCATATGTAAATGTACTTGCTATAATCAATCATGTGCACTTTTATGTTATTGAAGGAACATCTACCTCTACCTCATAAAATAAAATTTTCAAAACGTACAATGCTTAGAGAAAAATCAAAGATGTGTAAATATGCTTCAAACTAAACACAAGCAGTGGCGGATCTTCTTGAGAGTTGTGGGGCCCGTGAACCCCCAAAGTTTTATAACTCCTATGTAATTTATAATTTTGTCCCCCAAATTTAATGAACATTTAATATATTTACAATTTTATCGTTCCAGTCCCTCCTTAGTTTTGTAACTCTCATATAATTTATGATTTTGTCCCCCTCAAACTTAATGATCATTTAATATATTTAAGTATATATTTACAATTTTATCCTTTCACCCTTTTATCTTTTTACTTCCTTTTATATTTATTTTTTATTTATTAATAATATATTATTTGGCTCCTCCAAGATTAATGGTCAAGATCCGCCACTAAACACAAACACAGACATTTATGAGAATTAGTGCAATCATCGTAGAAGAAAGAACGTGGATAATAAACCAAGAAATATATGAATTTAGCACCACATTTTGTATTGGTCCATCTATAGTAGCTAAATTCACTTCTTAATAACTGTATTTAATTAATAATATAAAGATTTAACTTAAATACTTTACAGTAAACTTTTTTATATTGTCATGTAACAATATATTTTGTACTTTGATGTTTTTCCTTTCTTTTTTTCCTCTCCTTCAAACAATGAAAACATAGAAAAAATAGTGGTGTAACTTTTATATTTAAGTCAAAATCACTTTTTATTATGTTTTTCCTGATGAAACATTTCATAGAAGCTACCATCTTAATCAATTTTGAAAGATTTTTTAACTTTATTGATATTGTCCTTAAAAATGTGTTATTATTGTCTTTTAAATTTGTTCATATTATTCCAACTTGTATACTATTCAACGAGTCTAACCCTCTCCAGAAAGTCTTTACCTTTTTCATTTTTGTTTGTATATTAATTGCATTTTAAATGTTGGTTTTTGAAAATGAAACAAAGTTTATATATGTAAAGTTAGTTGAAGATATGAAAAATGATAAATTATCTTTGATATTATTGGTTGACATAAATTTCAATCCACCTTGACAATATATTAATAAATTATACAATTCATTTAAAGTCCTATAAAATCATTATTTTAATTCTTTTAAAACTTTTTTAAAATAAGGGTATACTTTGGTAAGAAAATATTTAATGCAACATTAAATTTTACAAACCTAATATATTAAAAAATATATGTATCTAATTGTCATATATTTTGGAATAAAAAGGAGTATTTTCCTATAAGCAACATTTTTATTGTAATTTATTTTTATTTTTGATTTATTTTCATGCGATTTATAAATAATAAATAATGTTTGCTTATTTTAATATTCACTATAGATGATATAAATGACAAGTAACAATTTAAATAATGATTTTTCAAGGTTTAACTTATTTCTAGTTTTAATATTTATAATTTGATCTATTTTATTTATAATCTTTATAATGAAACAATAAATATTGTATTCATATTTAAAATTTAATGTATTGTTTTAAAAAATAATTAATGTATTTTAGGGGCTCGCTGATTGGCCCGTGAGACGTGTCCCGTTTTCACATGGTTATTTAATAAATAAATAAACGTTAATGTAAAAAACAAAAAAAAACTTGCAGAAGCCCGGTCCGATTCCGGGCAACGGAAAATTCAAACAATATTCAATATCATTATCTTGCATTGAAAATTTGCACCAAATATAATAAATTTGTTACTAATTTTATTAATTCGCCGTGGAAACTATTTTCAGTTATCTTTGTAATTGACATAGAAGGTGGGACGATGAAAACCAATTGGTCTCAAATCTTATCTATCGCTCTTTGCTTCAATTCACAGCATATGCTAATTTCTCCTTCTCTGTGACGCATGGCGAAAATCTACGTTCAACCGTTCTTTGTTTTTCCTTAATATCGGGTACGAAACTTTCGTTGCGTTTTGTTGTTGTTCTGTTCGTGTTTCGAGCTACAGTACGAATTATTGAGTAACTGGGAATTGCCGTAGGACAGATTTGTAGAGCTTGTGACCATGAACTGTTTTGGAATGATTAAGTTTTGATTTTCTTGTGCCTTTCGGGTGTTCGAAGGAATGCATGAAAGAAATTGAAAAGTGATTTGGTTGCCGAAGTCATACTTTCTCTCTCATTCTAGAATCAATTTGCATTTCAATTCTTGGACAAATCCATAACCAATATAGACTTATTTTACATCTTCAGTAAATAAGGGGTAGGGATAGGACTAGATCATCATTTTCACCTGCAGGGATTGTGGTTAGGATTTGCGAGCTATAGAGAGTGAAGTTGGTTCTTAGCTCTATAGGGTCCTTGGTCCTAATACATTATTCGAAGCAGTTTTAATATGTCAGTTTTTTATTTGTAACTGACCTGAGGTTAGAAACAGTTTCTTTACCCTTCACGCGATTACTTTTCATCAGCTGTAGAACAATCCAAAATAATAATAATAATATGCTTGTTGGCTACTCAAGTACTGATAGATATCCGTTAGTTAGTTAATTAGGTTAGTTGGTTGAAGAAATACGGCATGTTTCCAGAAAATAAGAGGAGTGGTGAACAGAGAGGATCTTGTCATTTGTGAGAGAATTGGGGCCTTTGGGCATTCTGAGGTTCAGACCCTTGAAGGTCTGCAAGTTAATGTATTCAAGGGGAATCTGTTATTCTTTCTAACAAATATTAGGTTTCTATAAGATACCTTTCGGGTAACTTCCATCTTTTTTATATAAAATATGCTTCCGCAAAGGGTTATGTGGCATTAAGGAGGATTATTTACCTTAGATAATTAATCATGTCTCATCACTGTAACAATTCAACCAACCTATAAGCTTGTCATACTCATAATAAGCTATAATCTCTTCAAATTAGTTACTGAGGAATGCAAATGTCTTATTTTTATTATTAAATAAATATCATAACTTTCATATGTTTTAGTAAATAACATTGAGAGACGCAATTTAGTTGGTCTTATATCTCATACATATTTTTAATAAGAATACACTGGAAAAAAAAGAGTCTATTGTTGTAATCTTTTATCAATATTATTATTATATCAAGACGATTCATTTAAATTTGTCACGTTTTAATAGTTTGAATATGATAGTGTATATAGATAAAATATTATATTTTTTTAATGTTTATTGCATCACAAAAATAAAAAATTCAAACATTTCACAAATTGTTCCCTTTCTATGCATCTATTTATTATAAAAATGAGAGGTATTTTAGGAATTTATTTATATGCCTTTGTTGAAGAAAATACACAAAAACCTTTGTACTTTGCTATTTACTAAATCTTTTGGTGATTAGCTGATCAAGGCTTTGGCAACTACTTCTCTTTCACTTTGATTTTATTTATTATTCTGTTCTTCTTTTATGTTCAATTTGCAACCACAAGTCTCTCATGTTAGGTTTTTTCCTTTTATTTATTTATATTTGTTTTTTACTTTCTGGTTAATTAATTTATCCGATGATATTTACTTTCTATTGAAATGTAAACAGGATGCAGATTGTGAAACACGTCGTTCTTGTTTAATTGAAAAATCTTTTTTAACTAATCTTTGTTATACTTGAGTTGTATTGTATGTTAATTTATTTATTTTTTTGTATATTGGATCATTTAACTAGCATTTTGATATTTCCCTGAATGTAGCTATATTTGTCATGTTCATGTCTGATACAGTTGTGAAGATCCGATTCAGAAGACAATACAATACTAGGTACTCTTGGTCCTCTGTGCGTGTGAATGATTTCATTGCGACACAAAGCACAGCTGATGTCGAATATACATTGCTTTGGAAGGAATCTCGTCACTGCTTCGACCTCTTTGCTTCCTGTGCAACTCCCTAGACAAAGGTATAAAACTATTGAGTATTTTTATTTAACTACTTGTTGCCATGCTTTGTACCATTAACTTGATTATGTGTACCAATACATGTATGTTTTTCAGATTTAGATAAAGACGATGTCAGTGTTGTGGATTACATTTGTGTTTTTGGTGAAGACTTATGTATCTTGCAAAATGTTATTTGATGTATTAGTGCCGACTATTTTATGTTGATGTAGGGAAGTGCATTTTTGGTATGTTTTACCCGATGAGGTCAAGAGCACAAACCTATTGAACCGATATTTAGAAATTCTATCACCTTGCGAGAAAGAAAATATATTTAGCTTGCGTGGGGAAGATATAAAGAAAAGAGCACTCCTGGCCCGTGCATTAGTTCGCACTACATTAGCAAGATGTGAGTTTCATTATTCTGGTGATATGCATCGTAGTTTTTCTTCTTCCATTTCATTTTTCATTCATTTGTATAACATTGTTCTAATTATGTACCAGTCACCGAGCTATGATATTGTGATCTATGCAAGTCTTCTATATTTTCAGTCACCATTAAGAATTTAATAGACTAAAATATTGTGGTTTCATATCGTGGTGGCAATTTTCGTTCACTTATTTTGACTGGTTTCCTGCTTCATCCAGAATCAACTACTATATACACACACACACACAAAAATTCCAGAATGAACTACGTGACTTTACTCCTAAACTTAGCTTAATAACACTTTTAACATGATTGCACTTAATACCTACTTGTTTCGTGGACCTTGATTTATATGAAACTATCTGTCATTGTCGCATATCTAATTAGTGTATTGTTACAGTTTTTCTTCATTTGGTTTTGATATTTTTATATCATGATAGAATATCTAAACAATACTGTTTACTGCTAGATCAGACAAATTTTGAAATTGATCCAAAATCTTTAAAGTTTAGGAAGAACAATTATGGCAAGCCCGAGGTATGTTTTTAAGCTGTTAATTTATTAACTTTTTTATGTTTTGCACTTTCTTCTTGCATAGTTGGTATATGCCTTGTTCATTGAGCTTTTGTGCATCGCTAACGGTTTATAGTAGCATATTTGAATAGTTGGACTGGCAATATGCTGATGATTGGAGCCTCCCACCACTGCATTTTAATATCTCACACACTTCATCTTTGATAGCTTGTGGAGTAACTGTGGGTTCACCTGTATGTATTCAGTATTCTATTTCACAGAAGTTTTTTATTTGTAAATGAGTTATTTTATTCTCTTCTAGTTTCATGTTATTTTCTATCTTATTGTGATTTTTTATGCTGAAGAAGACCACACTGTCTTTGAACTGGTTTAACTTGTCATTCTCATTGTAGATTGGTATTGATGTGGAAGAGAAGCAAAGGAGGTTAAGGAATGATACATTAGCCTTTGCACAGCGATTTTTTTCTCCGAGTGAAATAGATGTGCTGACTCGCATTGCAGACCCTGAACTTCGGCTTCAGGAGTTCATTAAGTTATGGACTCTGAAGGTTAGTCACTATATTGAATTCCACTAAGGCTGTTAGGTTTCCTATTTAATAAGACTCAGGTGAAACAAATGTGACTCTTTGTTGTTGAACTATTATATTGAAAAAAATAGAAATTACTTTTTTTGTTTAGCTCCATATCAATGTCATTTTCGTTGAGAAATATGTTGTTTGAATAGCAATGGGGCATTGGTGTACCTAGCAACCAAACGAGTTAAAAGGTTCTATCTTATATTATCTTTGAAGATATTGGTAATATATTTCCATATTATTATTAAACTGGAATTGCTTCGAAAGCATATTCTTGCATTAGTTGATGTTCGAGTAAAACCAAAATTTGTTTATTGAAACTTATCGATGTTTAAAGATGCAACTTAATATAATATATTTCAAAGGTGTTTATATGATTTGTTCCTGTTTGTTAGTCCCGTTCAAAAAATGTCCAGGGCTCTCTCTCATGGAGAATACCTAAAATGTCTTTTTTCAATTATGATTTGTTTACAAAGTGGCTTGTTTATGCAAAATATTAAACTAGAAGTCAAATGTAGAGTTTACTTGCAATTACTAAATATAAGCATAATGTAGTTAGTCAGCATAACTTGTTGTAAGTTGAAATTCGATATATGTTTTACGGATCTGCAGCTGTCACTCACAAAGACATTTCCCATTTATAGGAGGCATACGTAAAAGCACTAGGGAAGGGCTTCTCAGCCTCGCCTTTTAAGACTTTCACTGTTCGAATAAGAGACCGTGTGAAAGGAGACATCCATACTCCACCTCATATTATTTCTAAGGTATGCCTCGCCCTTGCAAATTTTTTTGAACTTTGAGATATAACGAGCTCTTAATTAGTGATATATGATAAATTGGTTTGCTCAGGATTCAACTGCTGTCTGTTACTATTGTAGTATAGTGCATGAAGCCCTTATTCAGTATTAGCATATTAAATTTTGGAAGGTGATTTATTGGCTTTGTCTATCTTTAGCATTTTACTCTGCTAACAGGCACATGATATTAGTGTTGAGCCTTCTGATGACCTGAAGAATGCGTCGAGCTATTGGCAGTTTGGGCTTCTGGATTTAGCAGGCTCTCATTATGCTGCCGTTTGTATAGAACAGGACAGCATCGATACAGGTAACAAGTCTTATGCTATAAGGAGTATATTAGATATTTGCATTGTTGCTCACAACATTACTATCACGACTGTTCACATGCCTACATATTAAACAGCCAGGTTCATACTAGTGGCCATTTATGGCTTCAACAATTGTGTGAATAGCATACTTGTGCTACTATTTGGTTTGAATCATGTTTGTGTTGGCAGGTAATGGGAGTATTCCAATTGAACTGAATCTAAGGAAAACAATCCCATATGTTGAGGATGAATGTATTTCTGCAACTGACAGTGCTGTAGTGATTGGCGGCTTGACTAGACTGTCAGAGGGTCATTAGTGATTCTGTTATGAAATGGAAGTTTCGGCAGTAGCTGTACATTCTGCCTTCCTTCCGCATTTTGGAATGAGTGCTTACAATTTATTTTCATGCTCTCTATGTTCTTATTGCCTTCGATACAGTCAGTGAAGTGTTATGAAACATTGGAGCATATTGCAGTCCCTGACTTCTTGGTCTCTTTAGATATGCAAATCTAGTCAACAACGTTGGTATCCGTGTGAAATTTATAATTCTATGAAAGTTTATCAATTCATATATTAAAGTGTTTTAAAATATAGCATGTTCTGTTTCAAAGACTTATTGATCGAAACAAGTTTTATTGTTTAAATGGATCAATTTTTTTTTATAACATTAAAAACATGTAGTGATTAGGAGAATGCTTAGGTTGAGTTCAGAAGAAAAATTTATATTACTAACAGAAGCGTGCGTTGATAATTTGAATTTATAGATAAGTGTTTGTGCAGGAACATTCTGCACCATTTACCAGAAAATAATTCGTACGTAACATAAAAAAATAAAAAATTACGTTAGTAGTTTGATGAATCGGTCGATAAATTAAGTAATGAAAAATATAAAACATAATAAATAACACCAACGAATTATAGAGAAGAAGAAGAATAGTAAAAAACCGAATTGAAAGAAAAGATAGGATTAAAATACAATTCTTAGAACTAAAAATTTATTAAAATGATTTGTCCCTATTTTAGAGTATATACAAAAATCTGTTGCAAACATAACCTTAAATTAGGCTGTAACTAGGTCAATAATTCTGATTACAAAAGTTCAAAATTAATATATAGAAAATTTAGTCACCAAGTTGTTTTACAATATTTAAGCAAATCTGTCAAAATTTTTAAAAATAATAAAAAATAATATAGAATTCTAAATCCTACTAATCATATATTCATTTTAGCATCTTTAATATATATATATATATATATATAGAGAGAGAGAGAGAGAGAGAGAGAGAATCAGTCAAACAAATTATAATCATGATAATGAGCAAAGGTCAACTAAATTAAAAATACAAAATTAAAATAAATATATATTAAATCTAATTTATTATTATTAAAAGAAAATAAATTAACTGAAAATAAAACACATAAAAAATGCATTTAATGTATAATGGATACAAAATCAGATACCTAGTATTGCCTTGAGTTTTACCTTTGTCGTTAACCATGAGAGCACTTTTAACATTTTCTTCCATTTTTAAAGATTTTCTCTACGTAGTGACTTACAAACATTGACAAACTTTACAAGTGAGATCTAAAAAAAATCCTTATTTCTTTCGTTAGTGATTGTTTTAATAAAATATCTACTGAAGACACATTAATAAATTGGTCAAAAATCTCCTATAGTTTCAAACTCCTTCAAATTCTCTTCTCAATTTTAGTACTATCATCATTTTTTTTTCATGCCTTGGAACTCCTCGAGTTTCTCTACTCAAATTTCACTTTTTTTAACCCGAAAATCATAATTGTCTTTTACAAAAACTAAAGGTAGAGGTAGATAACTGTAACTAGATGCCATTCTTTCTTGTGGGTATATTTTTTCTAAGTGACAAAAAATGTAATTGCTGACTTTATAAGTACGTAAGCTTGCACGTCATCCAATTTAATATATAAAATAAAGTAGAAAAAGTTAGAGATAAATACATAAAATAGTAGAAATAGACAAGAAAAAGAAGAAGGGAAGTTAAAGACCTCATCATAGAAAGAGAATTTCCCATGAAAATGATTTGTTGTCTCATCTTGAGAGTGATCAAAATTTTCTACAGAAAATCAAATCAAAGCAAGCAAGTAAAAGAAGGGACAAGAAATAGGAAGATGTAGCAACTAATATTTATAGCATTAATGTCATGATTTTATTTACTAATCCTTTTTTTTCTATTTTGAAACTATACTATATTATTCATTTGTGTCCTCTTATAAATTGGATGGCAAGATGCAATTAAAGGGAATATTACTCAATCAACATATCACCCCAATTATATATATAAATCAAGAAGAAAAATGTGATTAATATAATAAAAATTTATGAATTTAATGAACTTGCATTACAAAATTATCTTATAAGGTCAACTAATCACAAATTGTGATATTTATAATTTTTATAAGAATTTATAGAAGTTAATAAACATCATATACTTGTTGATTTTTATTGGAGGACAGTGTAAAGGACCTGTATACAGCTAGCCTTTTTCTTTTCTCCAAAATTACTGTCATTTTGTTATTGGATTAATTTTCATTATTATAATCTTTAGTCAACAAAAGTATTATTATCTATTAATAATAGCCAAAGAATCAAAAAAATAAAATTGAGATGCAGTGAAATAAGATATTAGAACAAGGAAAATCATTAACCACTAACAAAAGAGAAATACAGCAATTTCAAAAAGTGAAAAGTGGCACTGTTTAACAGTGAAGGAAATCGCTGGCCACCAAAACGCTGATTAGTCTAAACTTCTACACTTGAATAAAATATCACGGAAAAGGATGCAAGAAACGGCTATAATGTGAATCAATCATGCTCTTATGCTATGATGCTCTTTACTAAGACTTGAAAATAAAAGTTTCCAAACACAATTCAATATGACATTGTAGGATTTGCCTCCCACACATACAGATACAGATGGCTTTCAATTTCAGTGATAATAAACGGTCTGCACCATCTTCTTTGAGCAAAATTGTATCTTCAGGCACTTTCTTCCTGGGCTTCTCCATTTTTTTTCTTTCCATCAGCATTCTGTTGCTGCTGCTCAGCCTTCTTCTGTGCTCGAATCATGGCACGCCTTGCTCGTGGCCTCATTTCCCGTACACTTCTCGGAGGCATCAGATAAGGTTCAAGTGGTCGATCACCAAACGGGTGCTCACTGCCAGGAAAGATCCTTAATTTTCGATCCCTGTCCTATCTCCATAAACAATAATGCATGTAAAAGCAACTTAGAATATCAATTCTTCAATGTTATAAGGAACAAAATAAAAGCTCTAACAAAATAATTGAAAACCACAAGCAATTAAGAAAAATATCCTTCAGCAAAGGGTAGTTAATACTCCATTTAGTTTACATTTATGATAATGACCTGATGATTTTATATACACTAGAATCGCCTTCCTTCAATCCTAGTCTCTTATTCAGAAACCAAGTGTTAATAAAGTACTAAAGCAATAATAATATTGGATTAAGTGATAACTAGAAGGACAACTCATGAAGGAACGGATAGGGGTTGGCACCAGGCACAACTAGTAGATCGAACATCAGAAGATAAAGAATTAAATTCATTCAAAAGAAAATTTAGTTATATATGCCCTTTTTCTTCATATTTTTTAAGGTTTACAGGTAAAAGTTTTGTCGGTGAAATTTTCCGATAAAATATGACCACTTGCTCCTATTTGATTCACATGGAAATGATGAAAATGAATTTTCAGTTGCCTAATTTACAGGAAATAATAACAAAGTAGTCTTAGTAGTCTCATTCAGTATCGTATGACAAAGTATTCATTCAAAGATCATAATCTTGGTTTATCTCCTTTCTGAGTGGTGCCTACCCCTGTCAAAAATCATAGTGTGCGCTCCATTCTTGGAGCCATTTCTTCCTTCCTAAGGTATCCTTCTAATCCTAGTCATCTACCTTTTAGCCTAATCTTATTCTCACGGCTTCCTCCTTCTCCTGGTCATTCTTGGCACAAGCTATTCCTTCAAGAACCATCCTTCATGTAATCAAGAATTATCACGAACCATAATATTCAATTGTCATTCTTCTTTTGTCTTCATATGCATTTTGACTTCAAATGATAATGGGACACTCTAGGTTAGATGGTAAAAAACAAACGAATCATGAAAGAATAGAAATTTTAAGTTTTAAATTTGTTTGGGTTTTATACCTTATGGAAGTATAATTATAGAGATACATATTTTTAAAACCATGGGATGCACTTGGTAAAATAAATTTAAAATATTACTCCTATGGGTCCTTTCAGAAAACCATTGAGTTTTGTCCCTCACAACAGTTACCTGTTAATCTCTTTTCTAATATTTCCCACAGCAGGAAACAAATTATGGGATCTTAACCTACCATCTTTAAAATGTCATAGACTCGTGCATAGTAAACTGGTTCAAGGGTTTTTCCCTTTTGGTCTCAAATGGGATTCTGACTTAAAAAATACAAACAAAACAAGAAAATAACCTCTTAATGGACACTAGTAATGAAATTCCTTATTGAGCTTAAAATTCCCAAAAAGCATTTATCAAATTATCACTTACATCACGTAGTTTGTTTCTCGGAAGCATACGCAGAACAGCTTTGCGAATGACTTCAGTAGGATCTTTGGCCATTTGATCCTTTAGAGTCCTTTCCTTGAGGTGGCCAATATACCTACATATCATGACTTTATGTCAAAATAGTCTGGATAATATAGAAGATTAAGGAGCATAAGAAACCAAATAAGTAACAACAATGACAACAAAGTTGGAAGAATTTCATAGAAGATTTGCATGGCATCTTAACCAAAAAAAAATTGTTTATTTTACAGGAAGCATAGAACTATCAAATAATACTCATCACTTTTAACTAATAGTACAAATGCATAGAACTTGCCCTGTATGCCAGTAATAAACCTTGTCCGTGAGTTTTCTCCCAGTCACACAAACATCCTTTGCATTAAGAACAATGCACATATCTCCATCATCGCGATTAGGGGTGTAAGTTGGTTTATCCTTTCCTTGAACTACAGTAGCTATTTGAGATGCTAACCTCCCAAGGACCTATATTAAAGGAACATTTGTATTAGCAAAATAGTACCAAGATTTCAAATATGCAAACATCTCTGCAATTGACCACGCTACAAATGCCAATCGCAAGTGTATGAGTATCAGCATGATCTCAACTAACATTTGCTGATCAGTTGCAACTATTCAGTGATATTAGCTCACCATAATTGAAATAAAACATATGATCTCTTCTTAGTTGGTTTTAAGTAGATATTGCAAAAGATCACTTTTCATTCTGGATGGTAACTAAATGCAACCGCCATGAAATTGAATTGTCTGATTCCATTGATAACTCCTCCGCTGGTTTGACTTTCAATCCTAGTCATACATGATATGCAAGCCAATAAGCTGAATGTTTGCAAAGCATTTCATTAACCTACTTTCTCACACTTGATTCTAGTGCTACAAATGGAAAAAACTACGCACAACACATCACAAAGGCTATGTTCGGATATCTAATTCTCTAATTATGAGTAGAGTGAAATAAAACAGAATAAAATTACCATTCAATTGAATAATATATCATGGAATATGAAATTTTTCATCCAGTGTTAAGGATGCAAACATGATAACGAGAATGTAAAATAACTTAGTTCCAACCAATTTTGTCTCATAAAAAGGGGTAAAAATAGAAGTATTTCCCATTCTAAAAAACCAAATGATGACAATTGATGGGATTATTCCATTTTGTTCCATTCCATCCATTTCCAATCCATCAGTCCAAACATAGCCAAAAATGAAACTATGACATTGACATGTGTTTTGAGTTCAACAGGTGCTTACTTTCTAATCATATACACTAGGAAAACTGCTTTAACTAGACATAAAAAGTATCATGTCATGGGCATGTAGTCACTCTACGTTAGCTTTCAAGGGAAGAATCAGGAAAAGAGTGCAGATCACCTGGCCTTTTGCATCAAAAACCCGCCATCGGAGACCTTCAAGATTAATGCGTCTAAGTCCAGCAGCAGCTTTCTGAGAAGATAGTGAAAACAACTATTAAAATTGAATTTGAAAAATAATACAGTTTTAGCCAATATGACACTGACCTATCTAACCATGGGGAAAGGATAAGAAACACAAACACTACAAATTAATATAGTCTAAGGAGCTAGTTACACAGGCAACCAAAAATTATTCACCTTCATGTTGCCCGTGAAAGCAGTTACCATCTTCATTTTTGCCTCGGTTTCTTTGGTCAATCACTAATCAAAAATAAGGTTTTCACCTCTGGATTCATCAACAGTGTAAAATAATGAGATAAAAAAAATGGATAGGAAGTACTGAGAGAAAGGGATAGAGAGTGAATAAGGATTGAATTAAAGAGAAGCTGCAGTTTTAGATAGTGTATTCAGAAAGCATGCAAGTATCGTTAGGAATGCTTAAATCCAGTGTAATTCAATTCAATCATCAACTTCGTCAAGGTACTAATCACAGCTGCGACACTGTTGCGTGGGTGCCGCGGCTGGGTGCTAGATGTGCTGCAAGTGTGGCAGCTACAAGGTTTCCAAACGTGTGACCTAATTATAATTAGGTTAAATCTCCTCTTCAGTCCAACAACCCTGAAGCCTAATAACCCAGCCCTATCCCACTTTCAGACTAAAAGAAGTGTGAAGCCAAGCTCATTCCTCTTCTCTTTTTGTGTAGCTGTGTAGCTGTGTGACTTGTGCAAAAGCCTCCCATAAATATTCTTTTAATGAAAAATAGATATCACTATGTATTAAAAACCTACAAAATATACAGCCTTCCTCTTCTCGTCCGGACACGGCCAATATTCCGTAAAATATAGACTCTACCTCTTCCCTTCTACTGCAATACGTATACTACTATTGTGCAGCACTGCAATTTACAAAAATAAACTTTCCTCTCCCTTTTCTTTTACGTAAACATTAAAACAGCCACTAATATTAACTTCATTTTTTCCTTATTATATTATCTTTTTATTATCATATTGACTTGAAATTTCAATATTTAACATACATATAAATTTCATTAATTTTGTAGGATCTTGCAGTCCGTGTTACAATCTCTTAATTTACAATTTCTTGTAATAACCTTTCTGATTTTCTGTAAAATCTCGATTTTGACTACCATGGATAGAGATAGAGAAAGAGAGGAGCACATATTGAACATCAGATCATACTCCATTTATACATGAATATTCAAAAGAAGCAGGTAATATTTTTGTGACAAACCCTAATTATTACTTCAATGTATGGTGTGCTTTAGAGGATTAAGTGTGGGGTTATAATGGTTGATCAAATAACAAATGGTTCAAATCATAATTTCTATCTGGTATATTTTTGTTCAAATTCTTGTCCATCGATATTGAAGGGTATGAATTTGGATGAGGAAGAACAGCCATCATATGGATCTATTATCATAAAGATGTTGACAGGAGTGGTCAAATTGATCTCATGCTTCAGGTATGAAGTTGTTCTAATTAGCTATTGTTCTTTTTGGTTCAGCACTTGCTTTCTCAAGTCTACATGACTTCTTAAAACAAAGATTGAGGCCAGAAATTAATTGCTTTCAATGAGCTGCATATACATTTACTTTACAGTTTGCTCTAATTCACTACATAGTATCAGATTCATTTGTTTAGTTTACACATTGATTTTACATTCACTACACCCTTAATTGTAGATTATGAAGTTGCTGGCGCTATTAGTTTTAACAGATTTTCTCATATATTTGGCTTAAAATAAGTCCTATTTAATTTCTATACATTCATTTTGTATCTTGTTAGTTTCTTTCAAAATTTGCAGCTATTGGAAGTTGTAGCAGAGAAATTTGATGCTGTTAAGTACATTCACTCGTTTGGACAAAGTTCTCATTTGAATCAGATAACCAAATCTCTCAAGTTTCTGGAAAATATGGAAGGTTGTGGTTCTGAGAAATGGCATTGGTTTGCAGGCAAAGCACTTGTCATCTATCTGATTAGGTGACTACTTATTCTTAATTTAATGGACAAAGAGATGGAAATATATGATCATGTATCACATACTTCCAGCAGAAAATTGCTGAAGCTGGAACTCAAGATTCTTTACATACATGACATGTTCCTTTGCCCATTTTATCATAGTCAAATAAACCCATTTTTTGTTTGGATATCTGCATCTTGCAGCCATTAATTCCCTAAAATCAGGTACTAATTAATAGCCAATGACCCTGATGGGGCAGTGGTGGCCTAAACAATATGCAGCCATGGCCTAAAATTACAAGCTGAATGAATCATAACTAATATTGCAGCAACTTCTACTAGCATCATAACATGTTACAAGAGGTATAACAGTCACATAAAAATTTGCTTATTTTTTATTCAGATGAATTTATATAGCTTTTTTGGCTCCCATTTGATAATAGGATATAGTTTGTGATATCCGTGGGGATGCAAGACAGGAAGAGGATCTTAGTTTTTGTAACAGGTGTACTGACATGTGTATATATTTTAATATCATGCATAATTGTACTTTTTTTTTTTGGTAGCATCTCATTTTATGGGGAAGTGATGTGATATGGTTTTATTTCCCATTCATCAACCAGTTATTGTACAAGTGATAAGTTGAACAAAGTTCATGAAGGAGATTGGTGGATGTGTGAAGACTGCAAGAACTCTTAGAAAGCATTCTGATGGAAAGACATGTCATTTTAGCTTGTGGCTCTGTCTCTGAAAGGAATATCAACCAAATTTTGGAATGCTAGTACCTACTTAAAGTGGGATACACATACAATCATGATGGAAACTCCAGTAAGCTGGAAATTAAAAGCAGCATTCTAGATATATGCAGAATCCATTTACTGCCATGGCTTGTAGCAGGGCATCAATGAAATGGAAGAGGTCATTATACTATTCAAGAGTATACAATTGTCCCATATTTTTTATAAAGCTAAAGAAAATACGTTATTAAGAAAATCAGAGTTAAGTTTAATGCACTACATATTTACACCCACCCAAGCCCTATCTATATCTTTTCTTGTAACCATTCATTGAGTTGACATCATTGAGGATGTATGACATTAATTATAATCTCTTAATCCTGAAAAGTGACATAAAAATCATGAAAACTGTCACTTGTGATTTGAACACTAAATTGATATTAAGCTAGTTTCAAGAGATAATTGCTATGACCAACAACCTAAGAGTATAGGTAATTAACTGCATTGCGGAATAAGAAAGAAAAATAATTGATCAATCAGTTGTCAGATATCTAATTCAATCAATGCATGGTAAATTAATTGTGACAACTTTCCCTCTTTAGTACAAATAATGTGTATGTGGAAATGGCAGTTTTTGTTAGTAGCCTTCACAGTTTGGAAATATTTGAGAACTTCATGTGATTAGTTATTCTCATACTCTCTCCTATGTTTTTTAATCTATTTTAGTTCTCAATTTGCATGTGTTTCATAAAGCTGGATATGTGTCTCAATTATATTCTAGAAAAGTTGTTGTCAGTAGATAAAAGTTAGTGAAGGTAAATATCCTGGCACTATATTGGAGTTTGAATTTGCAAAACATATGATGCAGACCACCATATAATTGTGTAAGTAAACCCAATAATTATGCAATTTCCTTTCACTAAGATCCACCAGATAATTATGTAACCTAAAACAAATTACAAATGGTTAACCAGAGGGGGTAAATTCTCAACAAGTTCCCAAATTGGTCTGGTTTTAACCAAAGTATGTTTAGCAGCAAGTGCTATCACAGTTTGGTTCAAAATCTACAAAAATTTGACCATTAAAACTCAGTAAAAGAAAACAATGAAGTAGTTAAACTAGTCAGCAATTAGACGAAACTGTAAGCAATGAATTGGCACAAATCATATGTACAAATTGTTCCTAGGTAAATACATAGCATGTACAAGCAAAATTCTATATTTGAAGCAAGTTCACCATTTGAACTCCACATCTAAGCCAATTACTGCACCATTCTTTAAAAGAATTTCTCACTAATACTCCTTGAATTACATACCTGAAGGTCGGTCAAGCACCACCAAATCCGCGGTAAGAGGAATCCAAGAACCTCTCTACTTCACAAATCCACCTACAACAAACGATGAAGAAATCCTGTTAAAAATTGTCTCTCTTATACTGTTCACAATACAAGAGAATAATAGCCTTTAATTGTATGGCTTTACTATTAGGCATCCATAGTGCTGGAATTTGGACGGTACATAAGAGACAACAAACCCATGCTTTGGAATATCAACCCAAATGAATTCCAAGAAGTTATGCAGTCCAAAAACACAATCACAACCAACAATAAACATTAAATTTTCTTATTAAAATATTGTTTTATCAAATAATCTGTAGTGTAGCTAATAACATAGTTTAGTTACATGAACCAAATTGACTTACTAATATATCAACCCTTGGAGAAGATTATTTCTGAAAATGTCTTGGTTACAATAATAATCCGTGAGTCTCACAATAATGTCACTTTTTAATCTCAGTTACACACCATATACATTTATGATTGTAGACATTATTGTAAAGATTATTTTCTAACATCCTGCAGCAATATTTGGTAGGGTGAGAGCTAAACTCAGACAAAAGAAATGCTATAATTAATGTGGTTAGCTGTGAATATAAGAGTTTTTCTGATAAGAATCATTCATAACCGTACCATCAGAAAGATAGGCTCAGTAAGAGACCAGGCTTGGAGTGAGTTAGCAAGTAACATTGGGCCCAACCCAGTTGCAAAGAAGCCTTCACCTATCTGTTCTGTTGGCCCATTATAGACCGTTGGGCAAATAGCGAACAAGTTGGGCCCACAGAACTCAAAAGGTTGTTTTACGTGTAGTCAAAGGTATATAACACAGGCATTCACACCTAAAAGTAAGGGGAAAACGTGACTCCAGGGGTTAGAAACCACTAAGTCAATAAACTAGGATCTCGGCCAGACTAAACTGGACAAATAAGAAGATTGTGTGGGACTCGTAAAAAGGTCAACAAATATAACCAAAGTTAACAACAATCATAAGGGGATTTTTCAGATTACTTAAATATTCTAGTAGAGAATTAAGGTAAAGATTTTTTTATTGAAAATTTTGGCATCATTTTCTTCTATCCCTTAGTCCTCTACTTGGGACTATATTTCGCTACTCTCATAAGTCTCACATCGTTTAGAAATCAAGACTAAAAGTAGTTTATATATACCCTTCTTTCTTTACCCACTAAGGCATCATTTAATGATAAAACTATGACAAACTAAAGTTCAAACCGACAATTCCTCGAATGTGGTAATTGATCCTAATAATGTTATCATAGCGATTTAAGGACAATACCGCAATAGACTAAAGTTCAAATCAGACAATACATCGGGTAATTGGCCCTAACAATGTTATCTCAGCAGACTTGAGACTGGAATACTCTCGTTCCTAGACTGAACAATAACCATATACCAACAAATAAGATTGGTTCTACAAATTTCTCAGCCTTGTTTCCCAACCAGTTGTATATACATATACTTATCATTTTGGCAAAACTAGCTAGTTTAGATAGAACCTATAAGCCAAATTCTTTTACGAGAGTACATTATTTATTTTGTTCATTTTATTTTCTTCTTCACATCCCAATATGAGAGATCAAATTTAATTTGTGATGGTTATGCTTCAAATTTAGCTGGAGAAATTGTCACAATCTGCAGCATCGATGGTATTCAAAGAAGACAAAGAGACTTGTGCAAGCAGCATAAAGCCTCTTTGGGGCAATACATACAAAACAGGGGACCTAGGCCATGGTTTATGTATGTACAAAATAAGCAAGAATGTTTTATAACTCAACCAGCTACAACAACGAGTTGGCTTGGGGAGCAACATGGTTATATTTTGCTACTGAAAACACTAATAACATTGCAACTGCAACGACAACACTAATTATCTTCTATTATGTGTTCTCCAAGTTAACTACATCTTGGAGCAAAACCCTATTAAAATGAGTTATTTAGTGGGGTATGGTGATAGGTATCCTGTCTAAGTTCATAACAGAAGTGCATGAATACCTTGAAATAATAAAACCTACCATTGTGACAGTGGTAAGAGATGGATCAACTCTAAGTGTGTATAAGACAATTTAATGATGCCAACAACTCCAACCTAGAAGGACAGATTTCTTATTTCCAAAAGAGAGATGAGTTTACAGATGCAAACTAACTAACATCATTCCAAACTTAATAGTGTTGAGACTAATTAATTGTAATGTTTTGGATAACAATATTCAATCTTTGTTCCATTCTCATTCTTCTAGTAATCTAACATCATTAATGTTTCTAGCATCACCAATGTTTCTTGCTAGTTTTGATATCAGCACAAAACTACAAAACTTTCTTCCACCAAACTGCAACTTAAAAGTTAAACACATGCTACAGCTGCAGAAGGAAAGTAGTGAAGATGAAAATAAACTAATGTGTTACATTAGAAGGAAAGTTTAAAGAACTGTTTAAGTAGAAAAACAACTTCATACAGTTAAACAGTGTAAAGTAGAGTATTATGGCGATGCTACAATCATAACACCTCTAAATGACCACTTATTTAAGAAATAGAATTCAATCATTAAAGAGGAAGTATGTCTAGTATTTTCATCAAACATAGTAATGCAATCACTGATGCGCAGTAGTGTACTGTATATGAAGACTGGTTGCTAGAAAAGGAATTGTATCCTCTGTACATGAAGTCCAAAACAATATTCAAGTGATAGAGTTTTGTCCCCTTTACAAACAGTGTGATAAAATAATCATAAATAAGGTTTTAAAAAACAGTTTTTGACTGTTTTAGACCTCAACATCAAGGTTTATGGATTGTAATATAACCACTACCAATCTTAATATTTTCTTCTTCAAAACAGTATCGAATATGTGCTAAATAAATGTTAGTAATTCTACACTAGAATTCAGACAACCTCCCTTGAGCTGGAACTCACTCAACTCTCATTCTTACAAACAAAC